ATACGCATGTATATCTCGGTCTGTTCTGTTAGTAGACACATCCCTCGTGAAAGAGGCTACACTACTTGCATTGTCCGCTGTCTCTGTCCCCAGACGCAATCCATTTTCGGTCAGTGGGGTGGTTTTACGTTCAACTGTTCGCATACACCAACAATACTTTACTTAACTTTTTCCTGGTACAAATTATTTCAGCGCAATCTTTGACGCACGTATCCTAGGAACGTCATGTTAGATAACTTGTATACTACCGGTCCTTGATTTTGCATGGAAAAGTACCCCGTACATTATATAACTATATCAAGTTGCGTGCTTAATAACTACTTTTATGAATTTTATTACTGCGCGCAACCCTATAACCCTAAAAGGACAGCAACAGATATATAGGGATTGCGCCATAAAAATTATGTACATCATACATCCATTGTCATATGGCTAGCTATGATGTAAAGAGGAAAAGAATGCTCTCATCTACTCAGAATCGCTCACAGCACCGTCTTTCATCCTCTTCTGAAGCCATTGCGCAATTTTATGGGAAATTTATTGCGAACTATAAACTTTCATAAATTCTGGTACAACCCGAAAATCGGATACATAATAATATGATCCGGAAGAAACCTCCTACCCATAATTGTAAGGTTACGAATCTGTACCAGGACCCCTTGGTACCTGTATCTCTGCCATTTTTCGTACCGGTGGGTCCGGGAGCGATCCTCGTACTGACTATCTCAATTTTTTAGTTGACAGCAAAATTTACTATGATACCCTTGGTCCTGGTACACATCAGATTCGTCACCTTACAGATACATGTTACCATATTTACCATACAAATGACCACACAACCGTATGGCAACACATCATAGTAAATTTTGCTGTCAACTAAAAAATTGAGATAGTGAGTACGAGGATCGCTCGCGGACCCAACGATACGTGAAATGGCAGGAAACAGGTACCAAGAAGTTCGAGATCTTTGCTCATACTAGCCTTCAAAGCTCTCCAAGTGAACAGATCACGAGGTTTCCACACATGTCTCATCGTTTCTCATCATTACGTTTCGGGTACGTGTGATAAGAAGTGCGTGAAACATATTTGAAGTATAACTATTCGCTGAAAGTAACATATTTGAAGTATAACTATTCGCTGAAAGTATAACTATTCGCTGAAAGTTAACTTTCAGGAATGCCAAACAGTGTTCGTGGTGCAGTTGTTTCAGAAACTATCATCATTCCGCTTTGATTTGAGAGTGTAGCTTGTTCCCAAAGCATAGTTACATCATTCTCAAAAGTGAGGTAAATTTGTGTTTTCATTGTGATTTATTTTCATCAAAGTTACCTAAGAAAGATAGGTTTCTTTGTGAATATCATCTTTTGTTCTTTCGCTGATAGCGTTCGCTTTCAGGGATATTTAAGAGTTGGTCTCTTAAATAAAGGAATTGATCCACAGGTAACGGTTTCGTGAAGATATCCGCTATCTGTTCATTCGTATTGATGGGTTCCAGGGTAATTTCTTTCCTTGCGACGCATTCTCTGATAAAGTGCCAGCGTCGTTTGATATGTTTGGATCGACTTTTGTGCACAGGATTCTCGCTCAACTTGATGCAAGCAGCATTGTCTTGATAGCATATGGTTGTCTTCTGCTTGTATCCCATGAATTCGAGTGTTGCACGTAAGTACAGAATCTCGATTGCTGTCAAGGTGCATTGTACGTATTCGCTCTCCATGGTGGATAACGAAACGATATTGTGCCTTGCAGATTTCCATGATACTGGTACTCCGTTGAGGAAAATGACATATCCGCCGGTAGATCTGCTCGTAATCTTGCAGTCTGCGTCTGAACTGTCACAATAGGCGATCAAGTGCATCTTGTTGTGTCCAGCGCTATCTTGATCAGTAAGTTTTTTGTGCCTTTGAGGTAAGCATAAACTCTGTGTACTGCCGTTAACAGTTGTGATACGGCGTAGCTTATTTCCGGTCGTGTCCATGCTGCGATGTAGATCAAACTAGCAACTTGGCTTCTGTACAACTTGACAAGGTCTTCAGGTGCATGTTCGTCGATATCTTCTGGTTCAATTGTGAACTTTGGGTCCATTGGGGTTGTGATTTTGCCAGTTGGGTCTATCCCATCTAGGTTGAATCTGTGCAAACACTTTTCGATGTAAGCTTGTTGATTGCTGACAAGGTTGTCGGCTGAATCTTTGGTGTAGGCAACTCCCAAATAGAAGCTCAAATCATTGTCTGTTGTTGTGTTGTATCTTTTTGTGTTGTTCATGAATTCATCGAATGATGTGAAAAGATTTTCGTCGTTGCTTGCTTGAATTATGTCATCGACCACCAGCGCGACTATGATTTCTCCCCCTCGTTTGTCACGATACAAGAAGAGGCAATCGACTGCTGTACATGGCGTGAAGCCATATTCGCGAAGGTCTTGACATAGCTTCTTCCAGAAATTTCGCCCGCTGCTTGGTAAACCATATACTGATTTGAGTATCTTGAGGAATTTTGAATGGATGTTGCAGAACTCTTGGAATTCTTTCGGCGTCCTGATGTATACTTCGGTGGGTAAGAAAGCTGTGAGGTATGCTGTAGGTATATCTTGACAGCGGATACGCCATCCTTTTGCTCGAGCTACAATCAAGAGAAGTCTGATTGTGACGGGGTTTGCTGTGGCAGAGAACGAGTCCAGGTAATCGGTGCCTTGTACTGCGTTGTATCCTTGGATAATAGCTCGTGCTTTATACTTGAGGATTCTCTTTTCTCATCTTTCTTGCATTCTCGAAGGAATGACATCAATGTATCGATTTCTTGGTTGTAGTGGTTTTCGTCGTAGATATTTCTCTGTGCTGGTCCGTGTGACCACCCTGGCAGTTGTATGTCTAGACGTGTTGAAGCAATCGACCATGACACCGCAGAATTGCATTTTCGATGATGCCTGGAATTGGTATGGTACGCCGCACATAGTCGGAGGTTGCGAATTCTTCTAGGCCTCCAGGTAATTCATTGTCGGAGTCACCAGATTGTTCGGTGTCTTTGTTGATTATTTTTCCTGACCGTAGTTGATTCTTAGGTATCCCGGGGATTAAATCCCATCTGAAATCCTTTTCTCCGCTATTATGGGTCTCAACTTGAAGGCTTGCCAGCTCTTTGTTGAGGGATGATAATCCTTCATCGATGACTGGTTCCTCTTCTATTTCGCTTTTTCTGACGACTGATGTTTGTTCGCAGGATCTTGTCAAGTGGTTGTCTACCTCCAACGGGGTGTCCAACTCGATTACTTTCGGGTCCTGTCGAAGGTCATCGTCTTCTTCAAGATGAAGCGTATCGGAGGTTGGTGCCGGTGATTTCTTGTAAGTTGTTGTCATACGTCGGTTTCTGTGATGTGACTTATCTATCATCTCTTCTTCTGAGTCTGATGATCCTGACATCTCTGTTAACCGTTCACCTGCTCGATTGAGTATGGTGACATTGTCGTCTCCGAAATCGTTGCAAGCTCCGAATGGTATTTTCCATGTCTTATCTTCAGGGTGTGAGAATCGATAAAGAAACACTTCTTCATTGAAGCTTATGTTGTTTTCTGTGACGTAGAGTTGTTTGCCATTTAGGGACGCTGCGAGGAATCCTTTCATTCCTAGATGGTGGGCGAATCCAAGGAATACACAGACTTCTGCTGTAGGTCCTAGCTTTTTGTCTCTTCCTTGCGCTAATCTCCTGTCTTTTAACACATGGACATAGCACAGGCATCCAAATGGGTGAAATTTCTCCGCGTTTGGTCTTTTCCCTGTGAACGCTTCGTAGCAGCTCATGTCTGATCCTCTGCTCATAGATAAGAATGCATTTTCGATTTCAGCGTTGTAATAGATTGCATTGAGCCACAGGTTCTTCGGCACGTTGGAGTGGATTATGGCGAGTCGGGTTCTGGTGTCTAATGAATAGATCCCAGATTCTGCTCTGCCATTCTGCCAGTGCTCATAGGGTGCAGCCCGTTCCAGGTAGATGTTGTTCTTTTCGTACATTCTCAGAGATTTTTTCGACGTCATCTCACCGCCGTTGTCTACGCGTACAACTTTGGGGAAGACCCCGTTGTTGTATCTGCGTGTGACTAGACGTAGAGATTTTCTGTAACCTTTTTTGCTGTACATTCCGACTGGCATTTTGAATGAGCTATAACTGTCCTTCCATAGCATCAGGTATTTTGCTCCTTCGATGGACCTTAGTCGGTATGTGCTCATATCTCCATGAAGTCGATGGAACCGGCTGTCAGATCTCTTTTCTTTGAATTTCGGTAATGCAGCCGCTTTGCTTTTTGCTCTGCGACAAGTATGACAAGTTGGTAGTGGGGTCTTTTTGCTGAGTCTCCTCAGTTCCTCCATCCCGTCAATTCTGTCTGCAAGTTGGGTTGTGTTGATATGCCATTTCAGGAGGATAGCTGAGGCTTTAGTTCCTCGTATTCTTTCTCCTGTTGAATAGAGGTAGATATCCTTGAGGTCGGACTTGTCGTGTTTTAGTTGCTCCTCGTATTCTTTGTCATTTTCATCCAATTCTTCCATCGTTGTATTCGTGAAGTCGTCGATATCCGCGAATGATTTTGGATCTGTGAAGTAGTCCTTGGTCTGTTTGTCGATAGCATCTTGTGTTACACTTATCCTTGACTCTTCAGTAAGGTTTTCTTCTTCTGAGCTGGAGTGATCACTTTCGGTTTCCCGCATGCTTATGGGTATGGATTTCATAGGTGTCGGTTGGAAAGCTTTCGCAGCTTCGTAGTACACTTTGTTCCCTCCCCATCTGCGCGAGTTTTCAAGTTCGGTACCTTGGTGTAGTAGGTACTTGCGTTCTTTTTTAGTTTCTGTGTTTTTGTTTGTTGATCGCGGTTTAGAGTTGAGAGGAAATTCTCCTTGTTGTATTTCTCGTAGCAAGGATTTCTTATCCCATTGTATTGAGTTTGTTGACGAGAAGAGTCGATTAGTTTGTTCATCTGACGGTTTGATTTCGACATACCATAGATATGTCTTAGGGCAAAACTAGAATGGTATGAAATCCTTGTTTGCAGTGATGATACCGTGAGTTCCTTTTGCTACGCTCCCGTGATGAATAACAGGCAGCGTTCTTGTCCTGGATGATTGTTGCAAGGGTCGCGAAAGCATATGATTTGTTGGTGACAGATTCCATCTTGCCTACGAGTAGACCACCCATGGATGTGTTGACTTTCTGGCCACCGACTCCGGTGATTTCGCTCTCGTATGCAAATCTTTTTTGGAGGCGTCTTGGAGGCGTTGGAGCCTCTTCATCGCCTTCCGAAATTTGTTCTTCTTCATTTTCCTCATCTGTGCTGTAATCGTTAGATTCAGCGAGATGATGGCCGCGTTTTGCGACCTGCTTTAACGCTTCAGCAAGATTCACAATGAAATCATTGCCTCCCGTAGTCGTCATGTTCTTTTTGAACTTTGACTTTGGGTAGTTCCCGCTATTCTCATTGGAACAGTTGGGGTTTTTCTGACGGAAGTTTTTTGCGTTGGGTTTCCCCTGAAACTTGGGCTTGTTGTACGCGGAGCCCTTGTTCGGCAGTTGGTTCCCAACTTGCTGTGCGGCTGCTCGAGTAGCTTGTTGTTGTTTCTTCTTCCAGCCTTGAGTCTGGAATCCGCTGACTGGGTCTCCGGTAATTCTTTTACCAGATCAAGTCACGTCATTGTATCAGAACAAATGTAACGAGATTCCAATCCATCAGCTACGGTAATCAACTTGGCAAAGGAGACTTTGTTCAAGCAGCGGGAACCTTGACTTTCCAACTTCTTCCTGGCATGTACATTCAAGCAGGCGAGGTTGTCATCTTCTCGTTTCAGCTGAAGACGCCAGGCACTGTTTCAGCGGCATCGAAGTCCATTTCGATCTCGATGTCGGGCAAGTATTGTCAGATCTCCGATTTCTGTACAGGAGCAACTGGACAGTCCATTACACTTGGTCCTGTTACGTTCAACCCATCAACTGAGATTCTCCAAGCAGTCGGAAACAAGATTCGGGCAACTATGTTCCAGAGCTCCTCAGATACTGGCTCTTTATCAAACATGTTTGTGACTTTGGTCCCGAACTTCGACATCCAGACATCTTCCATCCTCACCTTCACTGGTCTGTGTGGGACCCAGGAGTTTGGAACTAAGGTAAACATGGTGGGTAACAGGTTTGCTGGGGGCAATCCTTTGACTAGCAAGTGCTCAACCTCTTCGTTTCCTACCGAGACTGACATTGGAGATCCAAGTCTCGGATACACTGGTTCAACAATGGACTGGAGCCAGTCGTCTGGAACATTGAAGTTGACCTTGACAAAGGCTCTGGCAGCAGAAGGTACCTATGCCTTCGCATGGAGCTGGAGGGTATCAGACAAGGAGAACTCCGCCTGTACCATGACAGTGTCGTTGACGACTGGCCCGAACCTGGTTCAGAATGAGGCTGTCACGAACCTCGGAGGATCAGTGGGGCTGGTGGAGAAGCCATCTTTCATCAAATAGTTACAACTCGACCTGACGTCACCAACTACATCTGTGTAACTCTGAAGACCAACTTCAACCTTCAGACGTATCTGAATGCAGACCAGTACAATGAGGCATCCATCACTTTGTCAGGCTTATCAGGAAGCCAAGCTCAGGAAAACTCCAACCCTGACATTGACCACTGTCCATCCTTTGATTGGAACGCTCACTCGCTTGTAACTCCATCACAAGCCTCCACTGCGTATTTTACCAGTGCAGTCACAGCCGGATCACCGAACAAAGTTGCAAAATTTGCTGCTGGAGTAGCCAAACTTGTCTTGAATCCGGCTCAGAATCTTCCTGCAAATCACGAGATCAAGTTTGCGATCCCGCTGAAGAACTCCAAGGTTGCCCAGCCATGTCAAACAGTCACTCTGACCTTCAATGCCTTGTATCAGAGTCAAAACAGCCAGGTGTCTTATGCAGCCACACAGACAGTACAGATGGTTGTGTCTCCTGTGAATCGTGCCCTGCAAGATGGAGAGATGGACGGAGATGCCTGTCCCTTGAAGGTCTACGACAAGGGCTTCTTGACCCGGTTGATCACCCAGCAGACGCCTCTGATCCAAGAGAACAACGTACTGACCATTTCTCTCCGCTCGAATGTTGATCTTGGTTTGAATGGGTACGGTGCAACCATCACCATTGCGGGCTTGACGGGAACAGACACCACGCAGACATCTCTGACTGCACTATCACCGGCGTCAACAGACTACTACTCTCCGATCATCCAGAAGACTGAGTGGTCTCAGTCCAACGGTCAGATGATCATTCACCTTCCTTCATCTTCCACTTGTCAGATGCCCATCAAGGGAGCGACGACCAACTGTATGATGGCTGGCTGGACCTATGTGCTTCAATATGCCTTTGTGAATAGTCAAACCCAGCAGTCCAACCCCGCTGTATCTATCTCCGCGTCGTTTGCGGACGATGAACAGACCAAATCGCAGACGGCAACTCTTCCGCTGTCAAGTTACAAACATCCATTGTTTTTGACGAGCAACCTGCTCAACAAGTACGAGATCGGCCAGTTGTATCCAGCGCCAGGTGCAGTCAATCCTGTATGTGTCACCCTCAGACCAAACAAGAACATTGTCAAACAGACTAAGTTTACTTTGACTGGACTGCCGATGTTTACCTCCACGTCCACAGTTGACTTCTACGATGAGTACGGAATCCATCCTCTATCAAGCACTTCACTGAGGGGCTACTTCACCACAATTTCTGGTAACAACATCGCAGACAAAGCAGACTACGACAATGGCAACGGACAGATTCAGTTTCAATTTGTGACCAAGACATTGATTCTCGGAACGAAGTACAAGTTCTGCTTCCGTATGATCAATCAGAACTCTGCCTACAAGAACGGGGGCTCCTGTCCGTCAGTGTCGTTGATTGTTAGCTCCAGCGACGCTCCGAGTGCAGCGCCTGGTGTACAGACGTACACCATGAAGCAAGATGATGTGAAGAGGGTCTATGGGTATGAGTCAGAGCCGTCAAGCTGCGCTGGCTACATCGTGAATCCTTCGTTTCCGCATGCGACCATTCGATCTAGCTCCAATGTCACCTCAAACACTGTATGGATGACTGTGGAATTGCAACCCAACTATGCATTGACAACAAGTCAGGCCGTAACAGTCGCTTCACTCACTGGGTTCATCGCCTCGCCTGATACGTTTACCTGCTGGATCAGCAGGAATGGCGAGTATGTCAACGTAGCTGCAAATGATGTGAGTGGAAACATTCATGCAAGCGACTTTGAATCAACATGCACCTTCAAGCAGAACGAGTTCAAGATGACTTACCAGCAATCACCCAATCTGCCTGTCTACAACCCTTACTTCAATGTAAACGCGATGAGATCGAACGGCATCTACGAGATAGTGGTGTTATCAGGCGGGTCAGGCTACACTGAGACCCCTACGGTTGTGATTTGTGGGTCTGAGTTCTACTTGAGCTCCACTTGCACTGCAAACAATGTGATGTATGGAGTGGGACAGGGAGCGACAGCCACTGCAACGATCTCGGGTGGAGCGGTCACTGCGATCACCATCACCGACCCTGGACATGGATACTCTATCACTCCTGTGGTCATCGTCATACCTGCAGCAACCGAGACCGCAACTGTGACTGCAGCTAAGGCGCAGGCTTATCTGTACGACAGGAGCATCTACACCGTTCAGTTTCAGATTCAGAATCCAAGCGCAGAGCAGTCCGCACTCGCGTTGTCGATCCAAGCAACATTCAACTTTCCATCACAGGCTATAGTATCTGGAACACAGACAAACGGATTGCAGATGATAGCATCCTCTTCGGATGTCGTCTTGAACATTGTTCCGCAGGTCCGCTTGTTTGCAGGAGACTCCCTGCTTGTGAACCTTCCAGCATACGAAGTCGAAGAGTCTGGACCTCTGTTTGGAGTTCAGTCCTCGAACCCGGCGTTCACCACCTTCACCTCACAGTTAGAATGGGAGTTGTTTGGCAGCTCCGAAGATAAGGCGAGGGCGTATCTGTCCAAGGGGTATGTTGCTGACGGCAACACGCATCGCTCTGGGGATGCAGACGTGGACGGAGTGTTTGTGTTGTCACCGTCTGATGACGGCTACAAGAAGAACAAGGACCTCTGCTGGAGCCACAAGCAGTGCCCTTGGGGAGCGTCGGACTATGATGTTGGGGATCAGGCATCCTACACTCTTTCGAAGGTTCAGTTTGCAGGACCAAGTCCTCTTGGATACACCCACGAGGCTTGTTACACCGCTTCTATGTCAGCATCACAATCCGATTACGTCGGCATGCAGATCTCTTGCAGAAACAACGTCTTCTCAGCATCGACAACACCTGGGTCCTCTGTGACCGCAATCAAGGTCAAGTTTGCAGGACTCTATGAAGTGACTGCACAGGCATCTGCTCAGACAGTGACGATCTCTCAATCAGATGCCGGATCTGGAAGCTCTGCCTCAGCTTCGATCTCTTATCAGGTGGCAAGGCTCTCTCTCCATACAGGGGACTTGGCAAACTGCCAGAGCATTACATTCTCTGCCACCGCTGGAACTCAGTTAATTGCAGCGAAGGCTGAAGTTGTTATGTCTATTGTTGCATCTACCACAGACGTTCGCTACAGGATTGACATCACCAATCCCGGGTTGTACACGACCTTTCCAACTGCGACATGTACAGGAGCCAACGCTCCAACTATCAAGCTCGAAATGATCGTTGCAACAGTCAGTGTCACCAACCAGGGGAGTGGATACGTCTCTATCCCATCCGTTATCTTGTCATCCGCCCCTACTGGTGTCACTGTGACGACAGCAACAGTGTTCGAAGTGATCATGTCTACGGCCAACCAGAATATTATCACCCAGACCATCCTCGATTACAACCCGTACTACTCGCCGACCCCTTGCTTCCTTGTAGGGCAGGAGTTCCCATCGTCTTTCTTGAGCGACTGTAGCATCCACGTGAAGGAGAACGTTGGCCGATACACAGGAATGACCGCCATGATCGGGTCCAACGAGTACTTGATCAAGCAGGGAGCAGGAGGCGTGTACTGGGTGGTGGACTCGAGCGGCAACAAGCCAAGAAACGTTGACATAGCCAACAAGCCCTACACCATCTACACCCAGTTGGAGCTGATTGTTGCCAAGAGCGCGAGGGTGGAGCCTGGCGAGTCTGTGTCGATCACCATACCTGGGTACAGGTTCAAGTCGTATCCCAAGGACGTCAATGCTTACATCACTCCATCTACCGACGACGCTTCCAACACGACGAGGTACTACTTCGCTACCTCGCTGCCAGTCAAGAGCTCGTACGTGAAGGGATACGGAGTGTCGGGGATGGTCATAACCTTGGGTACCTTGACCGGTGACTTCAGCATCAAGTACGTGGAGGGTCCTCAGAGCATGGGAGGAAACAAGCCGGAGGTTCGCTTCATCTCCGGTACCACCTCCAAGTTTGAGATCACTTACGCGGGAAGCGGATACACAACCCCGCCGAGGTTCATCGGTCAGTGTGTGACCAGCACGGGGACGACGAGCTACTTCAACGGAGTCTTCTTGTTGTCGGGAAATTCAGGTGTACGACGAGTTGAGGTTGCAGTACAAGGAAACAACTGCCCCTCAGGAACTACTGTAACTATTGAAACTCCCAATCCTTCGGGATCGTATATTGATGGCTTGACGGGATTGACTTACGTGGGGCAGCAGGCTTCAGCCATCGTCTTGCTGAATGGAAACAGCATGTCTCAAGTAGTCTTACAGAACGCGGGAAGTGGGTATATCTCAGCTCCTTTGGTCACATTTCCTGCCACATGCAACGCACAGGCTTCAGCCATCGTCTTGCTGAATGGAAACAGCGTGTCTCAAGTAGTCCTACAGAACGCGGGAAGTGGGTATATCTCAGCTCCTTTGGTCACATTTCCTGCCACATGCAACGCACAGGCAAATGCATACATTTCACAGAACTTCTCGTCTACCATTGCGATGCGGTATGAGACAGGAAACTCCTTCTTGTACGAATGGAACAGGGACCAGACCGACACTCTGACGGGACTTTACTCTTCTGAGTTCTCTTCTGTTTCCATGTTTTCCCTTGAAACAGCGGCTAGTGGCTCAGCAGAGATCAAGTCCGGTTACGTTGTGTCGATTGCCGTGACAAATGCTGGGAGCACGTGCAACAATCCGACAGTTACCGTGGACACTCCGGCAGGAATGTCGAGCACAGCGCAAGCTCAGGCGGAACCAAAAACAATAAACAACGTGTTGCAGTCAATCAACGTGACATACTCGGGGTATGGATACACTTCAGCCCCTTCAGTCACCATCACAGGTTGTGGAAGCGCATCAGCAGAAGCTTTCTTGAGCTACTCGAATGTCGATGTTCTAGTTGGGGGATCTACTTCATATTCCAGCTTCAGAGGGGTGAGCCCCTATCAGGTGACCCAATCTTCTTCAAACTCGTACAAGACTGTCAACCCGGTCACGTCAGCCATGGACTCTCCGGTCTTGGTAGGTTTCAACGAAGCCTGCTCGAATGGGCAGACTGAAGCATACACATGGGAACAGTCTACCTACATGAACTCTCGGGTGACTGGAGTAACCATCACCAGCGCAGGAGCAGGATACACCTTCAAAGGAACCAATGTGACCTTCACTGCATCTCCACTTGGTACCTCCAACATGTACGCGACCGCCAAGGGTGTACCGACATGGTCGTTTCCTCCAAGGACAACTGCGACTGGGGCTGTAATTACCTTGAATACCAACGTCCTGTTGTACAAGGGGGGCACTTTGTCCACAGCAACAGGATGCGACAACGTCGTTTTGTTGTTCTCCTATCCTGAAAGATTAGGAGGAACGCAGCTACAGATCAAGATCACAAGTGTTGCATCCAAGACTTCACAGATCAACCAGCAGGGATCAGGGTATGCTTCAATCCCTTATGTGTACGACATCCTCTTCAGTGACGGAAGGTACTTCCTCAAGGATGGGTACACTGGTGCTACCGGAAACTGCATCCCGCAGTACTTTGCGATTGATATGACTCGGCTGACTAATCTCGCATCGGGCGTTGGGTTGGTCATCGACGGCGTGTACATGACTCAGGGGGGATACGGGTACGACACTGCTCCCACTGTTACATTTGACTGCAAGTCCTGCACCATCACCTCACAGGCCGTGGCCACAGCTACTCTTGAGAGCGGATGCTTCAATGGTCAGTGCACTCAGCCTTCCTACGCCAACGCCTTCTTCTCTCCTGTCAACAGAAATAACCTCCAGGTCTGCCAGGCGAGCAACCCAGCTTCTAATGACTACCGTACACGCAAGACGCTCCAGATGCGAGTTGCATCTGGACAGTCAGCAATCCAGTACTCATCGTCCACTGCATACGCGGCGAAGCGAAACAGAGGCTTCATGGCATCTGCAGGATCATTGAACTTCTACATCTCTGCTCAAAATCTTCTTTCAGCTACGTGCACACCTCCTAAAGTTGTCGTGGAGCCTCCGACGTCCAGGTCAGGTGTCGCCGCACACGTCGAGCTCGTCGTAGAGAGTGCGAGAGTTGACAGCTACCTCTCTGAGAGTCCAGCCACAGCCGCTGATCTTCCGGCACAGGCCGCACAGTACAAGCTTGCCATCCGAACCGTCAACCCAGGCTCCGGGTACATCACAGCCCCAAGAGTCTCGTTTGTGAGCGTCGGAAGCAATCCCTGCTCGACCACAGGCCTGACTGTTGCAGCAGCGCTTCAAGGCGGAATGTCTGTCTCCACTGTGCGGATTGCTGAATATCCATCCTACATCTGCCCAGCGCAGACTTACTACCTCAATCCTACAACCAAGACCTTGACAACTGCTCAGAGTCAGGGTGCTGCGGTGATCACTTGGGATCGCAAGTCCAATGCTCCTTATGTGGTCGATGGGGCCTACGGGTACTCGTTTGGATCTCAGCCTCTTGTTCTCTCATGGGCGTCGTGTGGATCCACCACAGTGGTTATCTTCTTCGAAGACACCAAGTCGATTGACGGTCAAGGACCTTTCCCTTCATTCTGGCCAGGTGACATGTCTGTGGATCAATCTGTCTGGAGAAATCATGCAGGAGAGGTCACGGGTGTCGATCTCCTGTATGAGTCAAGGCACTTCTTTTCAAACCCTACTGTTCCTACCCCGCACACATTCTTAAACGTCAACATCGCTGCTCGAAGCTTGAAACAAGCCGGTTTGATATCAGCGAAATCTAATGACCTCAGGGCGACCACCAACATTGAATTGCCAGTGGAGGATGCGTCTCCCTTCAAGGCCAACGACTTGATTTTGATTGACAGTGAGATCTTCAAGGTTGGAACGGTAACTGGAAACACTATCACTGTGACCGAGAGAGCTCTAGGCGGTTCTGCAAGAGAAGCACATTCGCCAGGAGCTAGCGTCGTGTTGTTCTTTCCAGGAACCGCACTTGAGAAAGCTTTACCTGCATCTGTTGCAGGCGTGCTTGAGACGGTTTATGTAGCATCAGCAGTTGGGTTTGCAGTGGAGAGCTCGATTGCGATCAATGATGAGTTCATGCTTGTGGCAGGCGTTGATACAGCGACCAATACGCTGAGTGTGCACAGAGGATACACGCAGGCAGATGGTACAAAGACGCCTTCACATTCCGCTGCTTCACTTGTGGGGCTGTACAACCCGTTGGCTGCAGTTGCTAGAACACAAGCATCCATCACTGCAACGGCAACTACGCTATCAGTTTTTACGACCAGGGGCTTTAAAGCGAATACATACATCCAGATTGACAACGAGATCATGTTGATTACTGCCTTGGGATCCAAATCGTTTACCGTTGGCGAGTACATGGAGTTGCATTCTGACACATCACCAAATGTTGACACATCACCAAATGTACCTGACCAATTTGATGGACTTCGGCTTGTTGACTGTAACGTCGACGGGTGCTGCCGTGTAGAAGTCGATCACGAAGGAACGTGGGGCACGGTGTGCGGGTATTCAGATGCCTTCTCAGATGCAGGCGCACAAGTAGTGTGCAGGCAAGTCGGCTGTCCCACGGAGGGAGTCCAGTGGAAAAAGCTTGGAGGAGGAAGCGGACCAATCTGGATGGATTATGTAGATTGCACTGGAGCCGAGCAAACGCTGCAGACTTGCCCTTTTGCCGGCTGGGGCGACCACGAATGCGATGGAGACAATGCTCTCGGCGTGTGTTGCCAGGGAGGCTGCACAGGACCAGGCAGTGGAAATGAATTGGTGAAGGAATTGGTGAAGGAATTGGTGAAGGAATTGGTGGGTGTCACGTCCATCTCCGGCAACACGATCGGTATCAAGAGAGGGTTGTTCGGAACATCTGCATCCGATTGGCCTGTCCACACCGTAGCATCAGTTGCGACCGATGCATTTCAGTTGTCTGCCTCACTCAACAGTGAAAATACATCAATCCCCACAGATACAACAGCATTGGGGCTGCAAATCGATGACTATCTACTCGTGAACAACGAAATTTTGGGTGTATCCAACGTCACAAAAAGTTCAATTCAAGTGACACGAGGTCAACAAGGTTCTACAACTCAAACTCATAGCCCAGTTTACATTCAGAAGGCTTATGGCCCAACAACAGTAAACTCTTCAATCCTGACATTGTCGGCAGACATCACAGACAATGCAACCTCAATTGAGACTACAGGATACTCAGTTCTGACAGCAGGAGCTTACATTCAGATAGACGACGAAGTCCTCTATGTGAGGAATGCTCCCACGTCCAGTGTTGTGGCTGTTGAGTCCGCGAACATCACCAATCGCTCCTCGCATGCTGCAGATCAAGTGATCTACATTGTCAGCAACCCCACTTACATCAGGTCAAGCATCGATCATGTAACCACAACAATTCCTGTTCAATCAATCACAGGCTTCTCCTCTGGACAGTACGTTAGGGTGGAATCCGAGCTCATGCTGGTCAACAGTGTAATTACTTCTTCTAACTCACTCAATGTGACGAGGGCATCAAGCCCAGTACCACACAATGCAGGAAAAGTCTTGTCTGTATATGATTCGATCTATGTGAACGATCAGCTTCAGATTGTGCCAGGAGACTTTGTGGTAGTTAACAACGAGATTGACTATATGTGATTGCATCTTCTTCAAAGCTGCTGACCATTAAGCCAGGACAGTTCGGAAGTGTTCCCAGTATCCCTTCTTCAAGCGATGTTGTAACAGTTGCGTCTAGAACAGGGTTGAAGAATGCTATCCTGTTAGCTGCAATTATGTTCAATGCTACATCGATGATTGTCAACGATGCAACTGGGTTGTTCGTAAATGACGTTGTCGCGATTGGACAGGAAAGAGTGCAGATCAAGTCTCTTTCAAATAACCTTGTGGGTGTCATTCGAGGAGTCCAGGGAACGTTTGCTGCTAATCATGCGGTGGGCGCATCGGTGAACTTTATTGAGCAATCAACAACCGTCCTTGCTTCCACTTGGACTCAGACCTCTCGGCGCAGGCTCCTACAGTCTTTGTCGGCAGGCATCAGTGCGGCTGCTACGTCACTTACTGTATCAGGAACGCTGCCGGCCCAAGGAACAAAAATTCTTGTTGATAACGAGAATATGTTAGTGCTGACTGTCGATAAAGCAGCTAAAACCATCACCGCATCCAGAGGAAAGCAGGGCACCACAGTAATCGCACAAACGCGAGTGCCGAGATTGTGCTATCGATTGGGGCACAGTTCTTCATCGAGACCATCATCGGAGCGACAGGCGTGCTTCAGTCCGTTTCTGGCAGCAACTCTGGCTTTTACGCACGTCCGATCATCACCAACCCCGACACAGCTGACGCTACCCCGATGATCTACCTCGATAGCATCGCCGTGATCAGCAGCCCCACAAAACTTCAGAAGGCTCCTGTGATCTCCCTCAACTACCTCGCGCCTGCCTTGACTGCTTATACCGGGGTGAACCCGGACCTGATCGTTCCTTCCCTGTCATATCCTGTGATCTACAACCCGGCCAAGTACAGCACCGACCCGCTCTACTACCAGGACAGGATGGACGGATACGACTTGATGCGTCCAAACTCGCCTGTTCTTGAGAGCAGCTCCAACCGCATCAACGGAACAAGCCCGGTCTACGTCCTCGACTCTTTTGGACAGATGCTGGGCGATCACGTGGTTGGTAGTGAGAGCATTGCCGTGACCCTGCAGGCTCTGACCTCAGCTATCTCCACAAACCCCGTGTTATCCTCGACTGCTTCGTCGTCTTTGACAACCAAGGCATCGTACAAGGTGACTCAACAGTCTTCTAGCCTGGGCAGCGTGTGGGGGGCTCCTTCCAAGGTCTACTCTCCAATCTTGGGCTACCCCATCAAGTCAGTGGCGGCATCTGGGGTGCAGTCTCCAGCTACGCTCAAAGTTGCCTTGACTTCAGCGACAGCAACGTCCTTGGAACTCTCAGCAGCTGTCGCTTACATCACGGTAAACAGCTTCATCAGAATTGACAACGAGGTCATGAAGGTCACAGCAGTCTCTGGGGTCATTCTCACGGTGGTGCGTGGTCAGCGATACACCTACGCGACAACTCACAATCAAGATGCAGAGGTATACTCGGATTGTGTTGGACGTTTGTATGCCGAGCCAAGCCTCGAGGGAGGGGAGCCTGCCGTCCTGGACTTTGACGGAACCACCATCACCGTGGTCTCAGGAGGAAGCGGATATCTGTCTTCTGCTAAAATCTATGCATGCGGCAGTTCAACAAGGTGCAACTATACTATCGCGACTGAGAACACCTGCTCTTTGACCTTCACCTCCACTCTCGGCTCTGCCGTGAGCGAGATGTACCTCAATGAGACTGTAGCTACTCGGGCGCTTGGAGGACAGCTCACTGGTCTGACATCCTCGAGCAGCAGGTTCGTCTTGCAGAAGACGCAGTCAAGAAAAGTTTCTTTGGTATTGCCAACCTCTACGCCAGGAGGACCTGCCACAACAACTACCACCACACCATCATCAAGCTCTACGAATGTCGGTGCCATCATCGGAGGAGTGGTCGGAGGAGTGGTCGGAGCTGCCTTCCTTGCATTCTTGGCATACAAGTTTCTGGCCCCGGCTGCTGTAGCTAAGCCTCCCCTTGAGGAGATGGTTCCTGTATATCTCCCACAGACCTATCCCGTTCTCCCTGTCGACTACGCCTCTGCTGCTCCAATGCCCGTCCAGACGCCTCTCTACGGTCAGCAGCCGATGGCGTATGGAATGTAGGTTGAATAGATAGTTCTTTCATGATCTGACCGGACCGTTACGCCTGTTCATCTCTTTTCCTGTTTTTTCTTCGTGAGTAAAAATCAAAGATAAATACGACCTGCTGTGCATAAGAAGCAAAACGAAAGCAGTAGGCTAAACACAAGCAAACATCGGTATATCAATCACTGTGAAAATAGGCATCAAGAATGCAGAATACCACTTGCACTGTCACTTCAACATGTTTGATCGGTGTAATGGAGGTGAACAAGCCACGTTTTACAAAGCGTCGCAAGCTTCTTCCAGATGCATGCATTTGGATGGCGTTGCGAATTGCTTCGGAATTTTTAGAGTTCACAATATCAAGGACCAGCTGAGTTAGTAAGTTGTAAACTATCTGAAAGAGAGAAAGGAATCTGTGTCATATTGATGGTTGAATGTTAGTTGGAAGTCAGCTGAAGGCAGAAGGTCACTAAGCCAGTGACAGTGCGTCAAACGACCATCTTCAAACGACTATCTTGCCCTGAAGGAGGAACCTTGGTGCGATAGACAGCCTCAAGGTTCATCTCTCATTTGGCGGAATGAGAGATCTTATATGAAAAACGAGAGCTGGCACGAGACATGCTTTTGCCAAATCATCTCAATTGCCAAAGTAGGTCAATTGAAATCTCCAATTCAATCTAGAGTTGAAGCTCAGACAATTCCGTTTGACTGCCCAGAAATTGATGAAATCCATCAAACCGTTTCACTATTCCCACAGAAACGAGAAGATTGGACAACGCAATTATCAAAAGTTTCGTTCTACTTCCAATATACCAGACACGGACTATTCTGTCCGCCCATACCCCTGTCGTGAAGCCAACCATGATGGATGTTCATTGACTGAATATTTTAACAATCATCAGCTCTTTCGTCTCCCGACATGTAAAAGGTTATCTATATTCGATTTCAGATCCCCAGCCGCTCGCTGCCTGGAACATCCGCTAGACATATCTGGTACACTCACAAGACATTTGCATTGTGAGATCACTGATATCTCTCAGCGGGAGACTCAGGAGAACGTTGACAAACCGGTACTTCAAGAATTAGAAGTGACGTTTCAAAACTCTCCAAGAGAGGAGGGTGGGTTGTAGACAGCCATGGTGACACATCGACTGTTGGCGACATAGCTGTTTGGTGGCGATGGCGATGAAGGTGAGAGGAGAGGCAGAGGAAACAGAGGATACAGCAGGAAAGATGGAACGTGCGAGCGTGGGACGGACAAGTAAAATGGGACGTTGTGGCCGGTAGGGCACGGCACATGCTGGTGGAGTTTTATGCTCAATAGTGCGGGCAATGCCAGAAGTTTGAGCCCATCTACCACAAGATTGCCTCCCTCCTGCGCTTAGAGAAAGTCAACGTGATGCTGGCTAAGATGGATGCGATCGACGAACCGAGACTTTCACAGTCAATGCAAGTGATGGGCTTTCCCTCGCTCTACTGGTACGCGTATGGGAGGATACAAAACTACAAGAGCGGCAAGCGCACCAGCTCGATGGTGGAGTGGGTCTTATTCCTTGCTCGTCGGGACTCGGGACGCGGTCCATGTGGTGTACAGCAACAGCGATGCTGAGGAGGATGCCACCTCGTATCCCAACAGAAGCATGCCGTTCGGGTTAAGCGCTAGGACCGCAGAGGATCGAGTGGTGAAGAGGAGGGACCCGCCATAGGAGAGTGCTGCAGTTGCCTGTGAGACCCTCCTCTTCTCCGACCCTCACACGCCTGGGCATGAGGAGCGCATGGCGGCGTTTGCTGCAGTAGCCAAGGAATGGTTGGGGAACGGTTTTCCTCCAGATCAGCAGCAACGTTAAAAGCGTCCTCAAGTACTTCGCACTTGACGGCCAGTGACTTTCCTGTCGTGGTAGTGGTGGTCGCGGGGCATGCGGTGACGGAGAAGGGCGAGATGTATCACCTTGACCAGAGCCGCTCCAGTGCAACCTCACAACAATCGCCCTGGCTACCTCCTCCTCTTCCTCCTCTTCCTCCTCCTTTCAGACCTGCCGGAAGAGGAGCTGTCCAGATGAGGCAGTAGCTGTGCCGGCAATGGCTCGTCCTCTGTCCTCTCAACCTTTTACGGGGGAGAGTTTAAGCTGCCGAAGGAAAACCTGGAGGGGGACGGGATCTACCCCGACGACCCCATCAGGAAGCACACTGCAAAGGAGCTTGAACTGAGACTGTTCCGGACGATCTACAGGTGACCATGTCTATGCGTGATGCTCGATTGCTTTACCAGAGACAAGAAAAGAGACAAGAGGCCCTCTATCAGAGTATGAGCCATTGGAAACAAGGCATCGTGGAAGCAATCTGGACAGAGATTTGGAGGCTCGAGGTAATCTGTCGTTTTAGCGGTAGATCATCTGATACTACTACCTAGCCGAGTCAGCGAGTCAATGAAGCCTCTCGTCCAACTAGGAGATCACGTGCAGCACGCTGAAGTCAGAAATCCCTACAGATCTCTCTGCCGTTGGTGAGAGTGAAAACGTTCTACTACACAGGATTTGAACCATACTTGAAGTGACTCAATCATCGCAGGAAGATGTCAAATGCCCAGAGATCATTTCGAGTGATTCGGGGTTGACGTTCGTATTCAGATACCGTCAAATGTCTGAAAGCTGTAGCTGTGTTTCTTCCCTTTAACTGTGCTGTTCAAATTGCTATTTTCTGGGAACGATTCCTTTATCTCGAGAGTTTCATCTCCTCTACATCAACTCACGAACGGACAATGTCCCTCAGTAGGGAACTGGAATGCTTTTAAGATCTCACCATACATTTATGTGGCAAACAAGAGATGCTGCTCTCGTCACGTTTGCTACCGCAAAACCCACAACTACCCCGACGTTACTCGCGCTCGCTGCCTGCAATGGAGTTGCAGATGTCAGGGTTGTCGTTCCAGACACTGTTTTTTGGCTCTGGTTGGTGTTGGCGTTGGTGTCACATCAACCCCAAGGATAGAAGAGCTGGCGGTAAGAGATGTAGTTGTCAGCGTGTCAGCCTGGAGGTAGGTGGAGCTGTTTGAGGAATTCCTGACCGCGGGGTGAATAAATCTCGGTCTGAATGTGAATCTCTGATGATGTAGCACCTCCTTGCAATGGACGAAGCATATCATCTGGCAAACAATCGCCTTCCTATTCCCTTTCACTGCTGCATCTACCACAAACCTGTCTTCCCACTCTGTTTGTTCATGGTTGAAGATTTCTGAACAATTCATACGCTCTCTGCATAAATCTCATGAATATCAGGGCCATATTCTGGCCGTTGATGGATACAGCCCTGTACATTTGCTGCTTGTGGTGCCTCTGAATCCTCTGCATCTGCTCAATGTTGGTGACGGCCTTAAGGTTTATGGTTTAGGGCCTTGGTTGCCAGGGCGTGACAGGACAGAGTGCCTGGTGGGCCTTGCATTCCTTTCGTCCCGTCCTCATCGTCGTCCTCTCGGGATGCCGCACCACCTTGCGTAGCAGGGAGAGGATCTCGTCTTCTTCCTCCGGATGATGCTCTTGAGGATCAGCACGTACCCGATGGTCCGGTTGTCATTGGCGTTGAGCTTCCTGATCCCGGGGTATGCGCCATCCCTGAGATTAAGGTTGGACTGCATGATGCAACCTGCCTCGCTCTCGGCAGAGAGGGCGTTCCAGGCTGTGTGTGTGAGGACTTAGACCTTTCTCTGTAACTTGATGCTGTCAACGATGCTGTTGATGTATCTTAGACTTTTCTCTGTAACTTGATGCTGTCAACGATGCTGTTGATGGATCGGATGAGGTCGGTGGGCTTCTTGCAGGGCCGGTTGTTCCTTGCTAGCTCGTTGTCTCGCTCGATGAACCTCGCGGTGAGTGTCTGCGTGAATGTGTTGATGAGCTGCTTGTAGGTCTCCATGTCTCCATGAGTCAATTCTTTGTCTTCGTTACTTCTCAGCAAACGGGCTTCTTTCGTTTCTCTTCGAATGTCATTCGAACATCTATCAGCTGTTGAATCTGTCACGAATTGTCACGATGACAGATGGAAATGATGGTGGAACCGACCTTTCGCTACATGCAGTGAGTTCGGCAGCAGGAGATCTTTTCACTGTGCTGGCGATGACCATGCAGCTGGGCTTCAGGTGTGACAAAGGCGACCTTCGAAGGACCTAAAATGAAAAATCAATTCGACTACTGGACCTCTTCCTTGTCGTCAACAAGTTATGAGATTTACTCATAGACGTGGAGGTGCCGTGCTCCTGAAGGAATCTACACCCTCCCCAAAAACCTTCCCCAGTCCCTTCCAATGCTTTTCAATGTTTTTGCTTGTGCTTTGAGATATATTTACTTTAGTTTGGTCAGTATGGAATTTCAAGAAATTTATTCTTTTCCTCAACGTACGGGACTTGGCATTATCCTCGTTTTGCAGGTGACCTGCACGTAACATTACGGCGAATATTGAAAGCAATGTCGAATCTTACCATATGCTTTGAAACAAGATACTATCCCAGAAATTGTTCTGTTGTGCTTCACACTGTACACTGACATCGCGCTTGCAAGAGTTTTCTTGAGGAGAAATTGGCTGCTCTATCTCAAATCCGGCTGGTGATTGGCGAGATTCCATCGTCCGCTTTTGGAGAGTTTCCTGTGTCCTGGTTTCAAAGTCAATGCTTAACATTTCGATCCATGCATCAGTCTGAACCTCATGAACAATTTTTGAATTCAATTTTGAGTAGGAGCCTCCGAACTGTGCCTCGATTCGCTTTAGATATTCATCAGTGTCGGAAATATTTGTGCAGCTTTTTGTGAATAAGTGATTTTTGACATGATCTCTTTAGTGATTTCGTATCTCGTTGAATGAGTACCATCCATTTCATCTTCTGTGACAGGAATCAAGCTTGAAAACACATTTCCGTCAATCCACTCCTTTCCTCCTAATTCTTCTCGAAATTGTTCTGATTCTTTGTTTTCTTCTCAATCATCCTCATCTCAGAAGACCTTTCCTCTTTCCTGGGTATTAGAAATTCGTTCATCCACTCTTCAGCCTGTTTAGTTCCTTCTTGCAACAATGGTTCAGCTTGATTTAGCACCATACAGCAGGGGATCTCGATCTGCAAAGGAATGCAGCCGTCATCATTCTGAGATCCTGTTTCAAGTTTAGGAATCATCGTGAACTTGCTTGAAGGATCCCAATCCAAGACAATAAGGCCAATCGCTCCCGCTTTTTAACAGAAGTGAAGTTTTCTGCTGTAATTACAAGGCGGATCAAAAGGTTTAGGACCTGTCTTCACCGCAACAATCTTTCCAGCTACCTTTGAGAAAATCATGGACTGCACAGAAATGATTCTTCGTTTACCTGATCTGCATTCCATAGAGGCATGTCTGCAAACTACGGTCTAGCCCATACAAGCCTTCCAGATATGTTCAGACCGCATACAAACGAGCCCTCATACACTTGCCTGTAGGTACCGAACATTGTCACATTTCCAAAATTCATATAGGAATGATTAACCGGATTCTCGAGTTTCGCCGTTGGTTTGATAGGATCATACTTGCTTGTCTGAAGGAACGTGGTGATTTGTTCTCCCACCTGAGAGGCATAGAGGTTCGAGCACAGCTGATGCTCGATATCTTATCCACTCCCAATTCTGTTGTCCAGCGATACCTTTGATCTTTCCAATCACTCGTCTCATGATTCTCCTGTTCAAATCGGTCATTTCTGAACTGGCACTCACTTCCTTAACCAGGAAAAATACCAATATGTTATCCGAGGATTCTGGATCTTGCAGTGGATTCTGCACAGGTGATTGTTGATTAACAGATTGGTCTTGCAGGCACTCGTGCTTCCTTGCGTTAAAAAATTCTTTCATCAACGCATTAGCCTCATTTTTAGAAATCCCGAATTTGCTTTCCTAGCGAGGACAGCCTACAATTCCTGCCCTGTAGCCTAGATTTGTTCCAGGCTGGACGGGTGGGAATGCAATTATGTGAGTGGCAACTTCTTGAAGCAGCGAGATATCTTTCTGCATGAGCAACACGAACAGTTAGATGCCATCAACGCAGGAATCCAGCTCACTTGCAAAATCATTTCTGCTGGGAGCTTGACTTGCACGAGAGGATTTCCATCTGGCACCACTCCAGAGGAGATTGGTCCTTCTTCCACTCTATAAGCAGCAGTCAATTTCTTTTTGCAATCAATTTCTGTGACCTCAGAATAGAAGTGAACACGTCGGTATTTTGATTGTCCACAACGACCACGGCAACAGCACCCGCTAGTTGAGCATGATGTAATTTTGTACTAGAGAACCCCGTCCTCGCATGCCAGCAGGCTGCTTCCAACGGGTTGTACTCCACAAGACTCTCCCGTCCTCTTCAGCTTGTACGCCACCACGGGTGCACGGTTCCTGCAACAAAGACCTCCAGAGGGGTCCTTTTCAGCAGATTCACACTGGGGTAGAGTATCCTGGGGTATCCAAGAGAAGTCAGTTTCACACACGAGTACGAGACCAACTGTCCTTTCTTTCCAGTAAACCTTTGTCTGACTCGGGCTCGGTTCCTATGAGCTCTGACAAACGACATCGCGGCAGGGGAGGCACATGGAAGACCAGGAGAAGGACATCGCTCAAGGTTCCCTCCGAGCATGTGCGCAGCATGCATAGGTGAGCTAGAGAGCGGAGGATGGCAGAAAGAAAGTTGAGGAAGAGGAGCGAATGGAGGGGACACATGGAGGAGAAGCAGAAGCGTTGAAGTTCTGGAGCTGCTGCTTGTCCTGCCTTCTCCTACTCTTCCTCATTTAGTTTTGCCTACTTCTTCCCGTCTTCTGTGCTTCCTCCTCCTCACAGTCCTTCCTCGTCAGTCACTGGTGCAACCGCGACTTCATACCTCCTGCTGCAAGGGCATCTCCAATAGCTCCTCTCCTGTGGATCTCGACAGTCCTGATCTCTGATGATACAATTGAGTCTTTTCTCATCATCTCCACTCTATCTCCAATCCCTCTACTAGCTATCTCTGTCCTATTCAGGACTACTGAAGCAGCAGGAAGCAGCAGGAGCGGAGGACTACTGAAGCAGCAGGAAGCAGCAGGAGCGGAGGACTACTGAAGCAGCAGGGAGCAGCAGGAGGGGAGGACTACTGAAGCAGCAGGAAGCAGCAGGAGCGGAGGACTACTGAAGCAGCAGGAAGCAGCAGGAGGGGAGGACTACTGAAGCAGCAGGAAGCAGCAGGAGGGGAGGACTACTGAAGCAGCAGGAAGGAGCAAGCACAGGAAGCGAACGCCATTTCCGACGGCCGCCGTCAGCGCTTTCATGCTCATGTATCGTGTGCAAGAGGAATTGGACGTTACATTCCATACAACAACCGTTATAGCAAAGGGTCTCATCGCTTTCTCATGCGACATGGTGCAGTCCTGCATGAACCGTGAGCTCTATCTGGAGGCTTGGTTCGGGTCAGTACGTGTGGGAGAGTGACGATGAGGTTATCGGAGAAGGAGACCCACGCATAGCGGTGAGGGGGAAGAGCTCAAGACAGCAGGGGACAAGGCGATTCACTTCTACATGGAAGTCCATCAAAGAGCTGAAGGATAAGGAAAAGGTCTCCATCCACCAAGTCTCCTCTCAGAGCGATCCCTACCTGCCACCCAAGGACAACATGATCATCAACGCCTGGTGCTACAGCCATGGCAAGGGCATGCAGCCTATCGCCTGAGAAACAGGATGAGGTGTCTGCTTTCTTTGTTTATTCTTCGCACGAAAAGTCTTCTGTTGTTATTTCATCTTTGCATCAGTTGTCTCTGTTTTGATTTGATCAATTACGAGCCCGAAATAACAAAGCCGCAATGCCTTTCACATGCCCTAAGTTGCTGTCAAATGAATGAGGGAGCTCTCTCCAACTTCGTTAGAAATCACTGGATGAAGGCTGAAAGTGCATCGAGAAAGTCGAGTGCATGATCGAAGACGATCAGTATTACCGTGTGCATTTGTAGCTACTTCTCCGGAAGGATTGCAATCACTGCACGTCACTGCACATCATCATTAATTGATACTCGACTGGAGATGATATTTCAGACAAGCACATTTCGGGGTCCTCTAACTTGTCTTCTTGCTTTTGACTCAGCATCGTCAGTACTATCATACTCAATCGAAGCCTCAAACATGATTTATTGTGACTCTTCCGTCTTGTGTGTGAAAGAACTTGCGACAAACATGTTCATCCTCACACCGAAACCGGCCTGGACGATAAGCGGCTCTGCCATCTCCTCCAGAAGGCCATTGATATCGCTGGTGTGGCTGAACCCTTGAAGAACACTGAGTCCGACCTCTCGTGATGCAGCAGGTTGCCCATGATATGGTAGACGTGACTGGTATTCTCGAATATGCCGCCCCCATTCTGCAGGCAGGCATGGTAATTGTCCCGGAAGAGCGCCCTAGAGCTGTACCCCTCATCCAACACGACCTTCACACTCATGTTGTGCACCGTGAACCCACGCTGCTCCTCATAGTAGAACAATGCTTCCTCCAAGCTGTGGAACGGGCCCCAAATGATCACGTGCTCGGGCTTGGCAGTGTAGAAGTAGAAGCCATCCAGGATGAACTCCACATCGTGCACGAGTATCCCGGGCCCGATATCCTCCCTGTCCAGCTCATGCAGCTTCTTCTCGATCACGATCCCATGGATGTGTATGCGGAATACCCTCATGGTGCCGCTCATATTGAACACAAAGACAAACACCGCCACCCTGTTCCAGTCCCTCACGGCGTCCACTTGCTCGCAGTTTAGCCTCGCTGTCCCACACCTCTTCCTCAAGGACGACAAAGGAGTACAGAGGGTCAAAGGCCGGTGTGGGGAAGGGAGAGTCGAGCCTGGCCTCAACGACACCATGCGTGTGCATGGAAGCGATGTGGAGGGAGCACCTTGCAGGATAGCCGAAAATCACACTATGGAAAACCATAACACGAGGGGCCACCCCTGTAGAAATCCCCGCCTGCCACCCTGAGGTCGAACATGTGCTTCAAGGATAAGACCCTGAGGCACAGCATGAACAGCATCATCCACTGCCCCGACTTCAAGCAGGTCTGCAAGGAGAACTGGAAGCATCAGCAGGCCCTGCTCCACCCGGAGTGCGTGGATTTCATGATGAGATCGGGCATGTTCGTATAGATCATCAACCTAAGGAGGACGTGATCCCCGTGCGGTGCGAGACGGCCTTCCCATGAGTCGCCCAGGAGGGCACCATGATCCTGCCCGACATGTGCAAAGATGTATCAAGATGGTTCCCTCCTGCTTTATCACGCAGTTTGTTGCAATCTCCTGCTCGTTGTATCATGCTTCTCCATTCGACTAGTCGATCAGCCGAATTCATCTGGAACAAGACCTGAATGGACGATTTAACAGAAAGTGTGCGTAAGGTACACTCTGATTTGATCAAATCAGATCATATCCTGAAGCACGGTGAACAGATCGAATTTTTGAATGAAAAAGGCATGTTTACAAAGTTTCGCAGCAGCGATAGGTAGGTGTTAGACAGGATTGCAGAAGCTCTGTTTACCTTCAAACTTCTCATCTGACGAGGTGGATCGTTCAGTTCTATAGAGTAGATTAGCATTTCTTGATTATTTTTTACTTTTCTTAAGCCAGAAAAACAAAATAGATTTTCTACTGTATATCTGGTTTGTGCGGTGATATCGATCATTTAGCTCTCCACGAGATAATGCGGCGAGAACCCGCATACACTAACGTGAAACAAGAGCCTCAACCCTCACAAAGACCACATATCGCGTAAGAAGCGACTGGCACCGAATATCATCATGGCTCAACCACTTCGCTTCCAGAATGTTGTATACACAACACAGAGATTGTCAACGACACGAGTAAGGTAAGGATGAAGAAGATTGAGAAGCAGGAAATAGAAGTCTCTAAGTTTACTAGGAGGTAAACTACGCACAACCACCACACTCACTGTGCATGCAAGTGGGGGAAATTCAGGAGGCCGTCCGCACGAGATGCGTCCGCCTATTTAGGGAATATCCGGCAGAGTATCCGACGAGTATCCGAGGTTCCGGATCCTCATGGATACAACAATGGCAAATGCCATTCCAACATGCCAAGGAGCTAGTGGTGCAAAGACTTCGGCGTGAACAGAGTCACATGCTGCTTAGGGTCAACAGGCTCAAGACTGAAATAGTATCCTCCTGCGGCGTTGACGATCTTCGACATCATCTCGAAATCAAGGATGTGATCTTCGACATCATCTCGTCCTTGGGCAATGGTTGCTTGTCGCCAAAGAAATTTCCCCTCGATGGAAGTATGATGACATATTTACATATGCCAGTGTACGACCATGCCAACTGGGACTTACTCTGTGGCGATACCTCAGCTGTCAGTGATACTCTCAAGAGATGGTTTCAACCCAATCGGATCACCATTTATCCCCAGGCTTTGTGTTCACAGCACCAAGCTTTACAGGATTGACCTTCAGCAAGACAGAAGGAGATCTATCTCTCTTTATTCTGACTCAACAAACAAAACAAACCCACACACACTGATGTGGCATAAACAGACGTGGCTCACACACGAAAGGGGAAGAAGACCACTTAGTTCTGACGAGAATGATCCTTGTATACCTTCGAGGACGGAGACAGGAATACCCGTCTCTTGGCCGAGGAAAGTAGGGGTGATTTCTCCTTGGAAGTTGACAAGCTTTCTTCTCTAGATGTTGAACATCCCGTCAGCCCTTCGAGCAGAAACCTTGCTCTCTCGCAGGGTAGAGAACCCCATCCTCGCATGCCAGCAGGCTGCTTCCAACGGGTTGTACTCCACAAGACTCTCCCGTCCTCTTCAGCTTGTAAGCCACCACGGGTACACGGTTCCTGCAACAAAGACCTCCAGAGGGGTCCTTTTCAGCAGATTCACACTGGGGTAGAGTATCCTGGGGTATCCACATGCACGCTCTCTTCACCTGCGCTCAAGCAGAACGAGTACTGCAGATCAAGCAGAACGAGTATTCCGGATCAAGCAGAACGAGTACTCCGGATAGGGCGCATGCTGACCGCAAGAATCCACTACTAGCGCTGCCCAGTACATGTCGCCAGATGCTTCTGCTTGTAGGAGAGTTCTGCGTGCATTAGACAATGACTTGGCTTTGCAAAACATTGATATCAATGTTTGGCGAGATTTTCAGGAACCTCTTCGAGAGAAACCTGCTCGGCAGAAGAGTCTGTCCTTACCCTCAGTCATAACCACAACTCCACTGTCTTCAGCATCGTCTGCCATTTCGCACGTGTATACAAAAAGCCTAGTATGATGAAATCGTAAGCATAAAGATACGTATTACCATATTTACACATGTTTCCTGCCATTTTTTTCCTGCCATTTTTGGTAATATGTATCTGAACCAACCCTATGGCGCGCGCAACCGATCCTCCATGCGACCATGGTGACTTTCATGCGAATGGTTGAATGTATCCGCCATGAGTTGCACCTGCCGCATGCCCTTCCACCACCTCTGTCATTCAGCGGGCAAACATGAGAACCTTGAGAAATATCAGTCTGTGTCTCTCCCTGCTGCCGCCTGCCCACCCGTTTCTTCTCTGAAACCGGGTTCATCCTCTTCTTTGCCTCCCATTTCAGTTTCACCAAAAGGGCTAAGTGTACTGCATTCATTCATTCATCTTCGACCTTGACAACCAAGGCATCGTACAAGGTGACTAAGCAGTTTTCTAGCCTGGGCAGCGTGTGGGGGGCTCCTTCCAAGGTCTACTCTCCAATCTTGGGCTACTCCATCAAGTCAGTCGCGGCATCCGGAGTGCAGTCACCAGCCATGCTCAGCTCTGATTTGACTGCATCTGCATCCTCCTTGCAGCTCACTTCTGCTTTCTCGTACATCACGGTAAACAGCTTCATCCGCATTGACAATGAGGTGATGAAGGTCTCGGCTGTCACTGGAAATACCCTCACGGTTGTCCGCGCTCAGCGGTCAACCTACGCAACCACACACGCTACGAACGCCAACGTGTACTCGGACTGTGTTGGTCGACTCTATGCCGAGCCGAGCCTGGAGGGAGGAGAGCCGGCTATCCTCGACTTCACTGGGAGCTCAGTGACGGTGGTGTCGGGAGGCAGCGGATACTTGTCAAGCTCACATGTGTACGCCTGCGGGAGTGCTACGAGATGTGACTATGCTGGAGCTCAGGTCAACACCTGCTGGAGCTCAGGTCAACACATCGTATGAAACGAGAATATAAGAAAATCCACTTTAGATAGATCCGATGATTTATGCGAGCCATTTGATTCCCAAAACTTTCCTCTTAACTCATCTCGGACGCTCTCTTCAATTTCTGTCTCTGTCTGTATGTGCAGAGAGTACTATGTCCTTTCCATCCCTCGCATCCTGATCCAACCCTCATGCTCTTTTATACTCTCCTTCTTGCTCGTCTCTCTGATACCTCTCGTTCTTCCTTCCCTCCCCATCCTCCCTCTTTTCTTGCTATTTTTCAATGCTCTGTTCTACTTTTGCTCAACTTGGCCGCTGGATATCAATCACAGGAGCTCTGAAGTCACTGAATCCTCCTGGCATAGCATTCTACAGCCTAGCCATCATCAAAATAGAAAGAATTGATGTAGATTTGACAGATATTGACTGGCTTCAGTCTTGGTAAACCCCGCCAACTCTGTGACTTCAACCAGGGATTTGAGCGGATCTCATTCTCAGACAGCTCGAAGAGCAACCGGATTTGACGTGAGGTTGTGTTCCAGTCTGGTTGGCACCAAATCATCATGAAAATTCTCAGGATCATTGAATACATGATTAAGAAACAAGACATTTTTGTATGAATGTAGAAGCATGTAAGCAAGAAACAAATGTGAAACACGTTTACTGAAGCAAAATGCACACAGAACGCATCGAGAGCTGCATCACGCCATCAAAGGAGGCTGCCTGCCTTATTTTTGCGTACATAGGAAACGATTGAGGGTCCAGGAAGTGATAGCTGTCCCTCGTTCCTCCTGCCTTGAAGTCGACCAGAAAGGAGTTCTTGTATCAAGATACGGGAGGAACAAGAAGCTCCCAAAGTCACTTGCATCCCCTGCATATCAATCGTCTACGCCCGTGCTCGCATATGCTCCCTCCCCCACATTCCCTGCATTGTGATCGCCTTCGTTCATGCTCGCATATACTCCCCCCACCACATTCCTTGCACTGCGATCGCTGCCGCCCGTGCTCGCATACGCTTCCTCCGCCACATTCCTTGCATTGTGATCGTGCTCTTCCATGCTCGCATATGCTTCCTCCTCTGCAAGACTTGCATCCAGATCGCCGTTGTCCATGTTCGCATATGCTCCCTCCCCCGCATTCTTTACATCGTGATCTCTGCCGCCCATGCTGGCATATGCTCCCTCCCCCACATCCTTTGCATCGTGACCTTCTCCGACCATGTTTGCAGATGCTTCCTCCTCCACAATCCTTGCACTGCGATCGAACTCTCCCATGCTCGCATATGCTCCCTCCCCCACACTTTTTGCACGATGATTTATGGAGATTGTGCTCACATATGCTCCCTCCCCCGCATTCTTTGCATCGTGATCTTACCTTCCTATGCTTGCAAATACTCCCTCCTGAACAATCTTTGCATGATGCTCGTTGACGCCCGTGCACGCATATGCTCCCTCCTCCGCATTGCTTGCATCGTGATCGTAC